TACCAAGTCGCTATAAGACGTCGCTGATTTTATCCCAGCAACCTTATACCGCGGACACCGATTCTGCGAAGATCGGTGAAGTCGTTACAATGCGTCACTGATTTGATCCCAGTGACCTTGTAGCGCGGGGCTACAAGTAATGCGCTACTTGTGGGTTGACAACGATGCGCGATTCATTGCGGTTGTTTTGCCTCTGGGCATATCATTTCATTTTACAAACCTTCGCGACTAGCATCACTGATTCTGCGAAGATCGGTGAAGTCGTTACAATACGTCACTGATTTGATCCTAGTGACCTTGTAGCGCGGGCTGCAAGTTTGAGGCATATAGTAGGACTCTATGGCTGCTTCTTGTGGTTGGCAACGATGTGCTATTCATCGCGATTGTTTTGCCTCTGGGCAAATCAATTCAGCCAGCCACGAACCCAACAAAGACAAAGACAAAGACAAACAGATGAAAAAAAAAAGCAGATACAGGCCCTGGAATCGAACCAGGTGCGGTTTCTTACTATGGGCTTTTTTAAAAACGCGAGAAAGCGCAGTGGCTCGTACGCCAAGTGCCTTGAATGGTGGTGTGGGAGAAAGCGCTGTTTCCTGGGCGAGCACGAAATATCATCTCCAGCAGAAAAAAAGAAGAAAAAAGAGGTGGCTCTCTTTGGGAGCAGTGTCATCCTTGTGCAGGGGCAATGCTAATCTTCTCTGAAGATTTGCGATTAGACCATGTGAGCTTTGCGCTCGGAAGGAGTATATTGTTTTGTCCATGATATACTTTCATTCACACAAAGGCCACATTAGGCATCCATCAGCCTGACCCTGCCATTGGTCAGTGAGTCGAAGCCACAACCTTCCCGACTAGCATTGCAGATTCTGTGAAGGCTGGTATAGTCGTTCCAATGCGTCGCTGATTTTATCCCAACGACCTTATACCGCGGACTGCAAGAATGCGAACTTGCGTTCCGGTGGCTACTTCTTGTGGTTGGCAACGACGCCCCGTTCACTGCGGTCGTCTGCACTAACAGCATCACCGATTATGTGAAGATGGGTATAGCCGTTACAATGCGTCATTGATTTCACCCTAGTGACCTTGTAGCCCGGGCTACAAGTATGCGAGACCATGGGTTGCTGTGGCTGCTTATTGTGGTTGACCCCATGGACACTAAGAGGCAGTTGAGACGGTAGTTGAACAACAGGCTTGAAACAACTTATCCTCGAAAAGGTTGAGAATGTTGATGATTTTCTCGCTCCTCGATTCTCCTTGACCTGGTATGGGACGATGTTGGCTGTTTCGCTGCCATGACGCATTCATACAGCAAACTTTTCGATTTAACTATTGAAGGTGGCGTTCAATCTCACTAGTCTGAAGGATTTCGCGGTCAAGCAATATGTGTCTCACCTTGATCACGTTATCCGAAAAATTACATGCGGCATTGATGGAAGCCCGTTGTGATCTGGATTCAGAAGCCCTGAATGAGCTTGACTCTTGTTCTCTCCACATTAGAGACCAGCTCAAGAATGCCATCATTCAAACCAAGGGGGCTAAGGCAGGAAGTCCATTTAGACTGAACCTCCTTCTGTACCCAGGAATGCGCACATAGTGGGCTGGTCTGACGTTCAAGAGGTTTGACCCTCAGCATTTGCTCTACGATACTGCCGTAATCCAACATTCTCCACTGTGATTTTCAGACATACCACGACAAAATCTCTGCCAGGAAGTTTGAGACACCACCGCCGCGAGCACCTTCATGGATGAGGTTCATTGTGCTGTCACTCTAGTTCCCGGTCTGGTTTAGGCGTTTGAACACGAGCTCTCTTTCATAGCTCGCTGCGCAGAACATCCTTTGACTGCACCTTAATTACCGTCGCTGGAACTGAGCAGACACTCACCGCAACTGAATCTATGGAGCCCTACGTTGAAAGATGGAGTATGCCTCCTACCTAGTTGGCCCAAAGAGTACGTCCCTGGCATGCGATCTGCACTCTAAGTGGGATTAAAGGTCGGTACACTTCTCGACTGGAAATATACGCAGCATGATCTTTCCGATGTTCTAGTGCCAAACCAGCAGAAGATAAACCCACACTCCAACTAGTTTCGAGCACTGAGTGCCGCTGTGTTAGCATCCATCAACTTCACCGATGATGGGAGAGCTGGTCTGAGAAAACAATCTAGCGAGGTGCCCGACAAGTACATCCTTGAACATTATGGGCAAAAGGACCTGGACAGGTACTTCATGATGTTGCTCATGCATTAGATCGCTCTTGACCCTGGAGAACCTCGCACTGAGCGAGACACCAACAGGATCGAGAGAGCCAGGATGATTGGTCATGAGCTTCTCCAAAATCAGACATGGGCGATCAATCCGTCACATTTCAGCTTGGATCGAAGAAATGCGATTCGCGAGCCATAGCTGAACGGTCGGCATGATTGGGGTGGTGTCAGGCTTCGCAGCTCGAAGACGTCACCAGAGATATTGCAGTTTCTCGCTTGCACGCATCAGTACAGCAGAGATGGCCCTTAACCTTGCGCCACTCGTACTAGCATTCAAGGAGGAACCCATCGCACTTAGACTAGTTCTCCCCCAGCACGGTTTGAGGCTTCTCTAGATGACATTCTGGAGGTACCCATTTACGAAGGCCACTTCCCTCAACAGGCTGATGGAAAGACATTCCGACAAATGTGTAATGCTGTGAAGTTTCTCGTCGTACTGCCAGGACGGCGCTGGGACCTGAAGTACAGGATATCCCCCAAGCAGCACGCAGCGGTCGGGACATTCTTGACACATCGGAAAGTGTCTCACTTAATGCAACCAGGGATTCTGTTAATGCATTACACCTCGACCTTGATAATTTTTGGCCCTATATAAGGAAACTCTGGACAAGAGAGGCGGACTGGGAGTGGCGCATGGCACGATGGAAGGCACACCTACGTAGCTAATGCATCACGGTAACTAGCCGCCCTCTGCTCAGGCTTAACTTGATTAATCAAATTGTATTACACTTATCCATTCATTAGTCAATATGTGAGGGTCAGTAGTGTCTTCCTAGACCGAGTTTCGCCATATATGAAGGCAATCTTGGCGTGTAGTAACAAGTATATGTTAGGTACGACTGTTTACTACATCTTGAAAAGCACCTTGATAGACAGACAGCCCCGGGGACTTTGATATTCAGTGGATTTCCAGAGGTACGGCGATAATCGAGATCACCATATCCTAGACGAAGAAAGAGAGAACATGGCGATGATACCAGAGACCTTTACAAATCAAGCACGTAGGTCGGACATCGCAAGGAGACGGTAGAATACTATCACGTCCTACATACTAATTTCGCTTTCTCTAAATAATTCTCTGTTTTTGCCCCCCTTGGGAAAGGCTGTCTGTATATCACGAAAGCCTTCTTGGTTATATCTGGACAGGTGACCTCTATGCTCTTGTGAACACCATCGAAATCTCCGCCACTGACTACACGATCCAGCCACCCAATATCGTCACACGAAAGTGATGAGAAGAGAGATAAGACAGTCAAAAACTAAGCAGGGGACAAAGAGTGAGATGGCTAAGTAGATAAGAAGATTGAGTTAATGATAGACAGGGGAGTTAAGGATGTTATCATCGAGTTGGATGAAGTACCTTTAACGCCCGACACGCATTTGCATCATTGGCTGCTCCTTCAAAGAGACCGCAGGAAACATGAAAAGAGTTTAAAAAGATGAAAGAAGAAAAAAACATAAGTTCTCTGCGATGTACCCGTCCCCCAACCTTACATACTAAGGAAGGGGTGGTACACCTACAGTCGGTCTGATCATCAGTGAGCACTGGCGTGGACGTCATGAGTAGATGCTGGACGGTGATCGAACAAGGCACAAGGCGAAGGCCCTTACTTGCTGCAGCGCTAGCATTCAACTGAAACGCGATCCCTTGACTTCTCCCCTTCTAATTTGAATATATTATCGCTTTATCTCCTCTATTTCATAGCTAGGTTTTCTAAACCTGGGTATATATGAAGGATGGAAAACCACCTTTCTTGGATCCGGACCGACGACCATCTGTGCACGATGGCGGACTCACTTGATGCCGTCAGAACCTCCAATAAGACAAGGCGAAGCAATGAAATCAGCCAGTAGCTTTGAAATGGCTGAGCTCCCAATTTTAAGCTTCCTTGACGGGATTACTTACTCAATGATCAGTTCACCCACCTTCATGTCAACACTTGATCAAGTCCAACTATGAATTGTTTGCCCATGAAAATGCCATCTAACGGGTTATATTAGGGGCAAGGGGAATGAGAATAAGCTGAACAATTAGACTCAAGTCACGAGATGGCAACACAGCGATGAAACTACTAGTTAGGGTTGTGTCAAAAGATGTTGAGGTTTGCAAGTGAGGCCCTTGCAGCAATCGTCAAACTGTGGTCTCAAAAATTCAACATGTTGCAAAACCTCTACAAAGTCTGTTCATCAGCCTTCGGCAGTTCAGTCAAGGTCACATTCAATATTTCAGCTGACTGTTTGTTGAACAATATATTTCATTCTACCGGCGTCTATCCATCCCTATTTCACAAGCCCTTCCCTACTATGTTGCCACCTAGATCAGCCTCAGTGAGCCGCGTTCGATCTCTTGATGCAAGGCCTGAGGGTTCGTAGCCAGCCCCCCAACCGTCATCTGACTAGTGTCTACCATAATCATCCGTCATGAATAAAACTCCCGGCACAGGATGGCATCATTACTGTGAGATTCGATATAGGCAAAAACGCTGAAACAAAAAGGACTTTTTTCCCATATGCCTCGGTAGGTACCTTTTCATCCATTCCGAATGACCGTTGAAACAAAAGGAAAGAAAAAAATTGCCTCGGCCACTCGCCCAACGCCCTAAGGCAACAAATATGCATAATGCGCATTCTTCATTTTTTTTCTTCATCCGCTCTCCAAAATCGTGATACTCATATCTCTCAACCCACGCCCCTATACCGCCAGGGGGTAATTGGCGGTACACATGATAATTAATTTATCGGGAGGACATGGCCTTGGTGACGAGACGCTTGAGGGCGAGCTCCTGCTTCTTGAGGTCCTCAGCGGTGCTGTCGCCGATCTCCAGAGCAGCCATAGCCTCGCTGATGGTCTGCTCAATCTTCTCCTTCTGGCCACGCTTCAGCTTCAGGGCCAGAGTGGGGTCGGTGACGATCTCCTCAACACGACCAATGTAAGACTCGAGCTGCTGCTTGGCCTCGAACTTCTTGCTGAAAGCCTCGTCGTTGCTCTTGAACTCCTCGGCGTCGTTGATCATCTTCTCGATCTCACCGGCGGAGAGCTTGCCGACAGAGTTGGCAATTGTGATGTTGGCACTGCGGCCAGAGCTCTTCTCAGTGGCAGTAACCTTGAGGATACCGTTGACGTCGACCTCGAAGACACACTCGAGGACGGCCTCACCGGCACGCATAGGGGGGATAGGAGCGAGGGTGAATTCACCCAGGGAGGTGTTGTCTTCGCAGTTAACACGCTCTCCTTGGTAAACGGGGAATTGTACCGAGGCTTGGTTATCCGCGACGGTAGTGAATGTGCGCTTCTTCAAGCAGGGAACGGTCTGGCCACGGGGCACGACAGGGGCGAAGATGTTACCCTCCATGGCAACACCAAGGGAGAGAGGGCAGACATCCAGGAGAAGGAGGTCAGCAGTCTCGGCAGAGGTAGCCTTGCCAGAGAGGATACCAGCCTGGACGGCGGCACCGTAGGCAACGGCCTCATCGGGGTTGATGCTCTTCTCGAGCTTCTTGCCGTCGAAGAACTCGGACAGAAGCTTCTGGATACGGGGGATACGGGTGGAACCACCGACGAGGACAATCTCGTCAACGGCCTTCTTGTCGATAGAAGCATCCTTGAGGACCTGGGCAACAGGCTCAATAGTGCCATTGAAGGCCTTGGCGTTGAGCTCTTCGAAACGAGCACGGGTGATGGTGACGCTGTAGTCATGGCCCTCGAAAAGACTGTCGATCTCAATGGTGGCCTGGGCACCGCTGGACAGAGTACGCTTGGCACGCTCGCAAGCAGTACGGAGACGACGGAGGGCACGGGCGTCACCGGAGAGATCGGCCTTGGTCTTGCGGTTGAAGCTAGGGGATGGTCAGTATGGCTAGCCTACAGTAAATTGCTGTTTTGAACGGGAAAACTCACTCCTTCTTGCAGTGGTCGAGGAGGTTGGTGTCGAAATCCTGTCCACCGAGATGGGTGTCACCGGCAGTAGCCTTGACGGTGAAGACACCACCCTGGATGTTGAGGAGGGAGACATCGAAAGTACCACCGCCAAGATCGTAGATCAGGACGTTACGCTCCTTGTTGGACTTGTTGGAGCCAAGACCGTAGGCGATAGCGGCGGCGGTAGGCTCGTTGATGATACGGAGGACGTTGAGACCAGCAATGGCACCAGCATCCTTGGTAGCCTGACGCTGGTTGTCGTTGAAGTAGGCAGGGACAGTGATGACAGCCTTCTCAACCTTCTTGCCGAGCTTGACCTCAGCAATCTCCTTCATCTGCGGAGTTGGTTAGCCGGTGTCGGGCAATAAAAATTTCAAACCTTGGTCTTGACTCGTGGAGATCCAGGCCTGGGGAATTTTGGGTGCAACTTGCCTTGACGAGAACCATGGCGGAGATCTCCTGGGCGGAGAAGGTCTTGGTCTCACCGAGGTACTCAACCTCGATTCTGGGGCTGCCGTTGTCATCGACGATCTTGAAGGGCCAAGACTCGATATCCTTCTTGACGTTGGGGTCGTCGTAGCGGCGACCGATGAGACGCCTGAACAGGACGGGTCAGTATATATCGCACAAGCCGGTTTATTTTGCATTATGCTTCTACAGCCTTTCTGGCGATAGAATTATGAGGGCAAAAGAACGCACTTAGCATCGAAGACGGTGTTGCGGGGGTTCATGGCAGCATTGTTCTTGGCAGCCTCACCAATCAGACGCTCCTTGTCGGTGAAGGAAACGAAAGAAGGGGTGGTGAAAGAACCCTGCTCGTTGGCAATGATCTCGACATTGTTGCCCTCGTATGTAGCAACGCAGGAGTAGGTGGTACCTGTGAGGGAGATGCTCTGGTCAGCGAATTTTTCGTGCTTGGCCCCGGCCTTTGACGCACAAATCGGCAAGGAGGGGTTGGTGGGATGTGAGAGAAAACCGTAGGGTTCGAGCACTTACCCAGATCAATGCCAACGGCACCGTCGTAAACTTCGTCAGCCATCTTGAATGTGTACTGAAAACTTGATTTCAGGGGATGGATGAAGGAAAGGTAGGATGGAGGAGGGGGAGGAAGAGAAGAGGAATAAATCCAACGTGGGGTGGGCCTCGCGGTGAGAAGAATTTCTTCGGGCGCTGCCAAATTTTTGTGAATTGAGGGGACCAGCACCACCACTAGAACTTTTTTTTTTTGCGGCCGGGTGGCCCCACCTTGGGTTTCCCTCTTTTTCGCAGCGCTGCTTTCAAAGAGGCGAATCACTTTTTAGGCGCTACATGCCCCGCCCGGAGCCGGCCAATCACAGCCCTGCCAACTTTCTCCGGTGCTGAAGGACCCTTGGCCGTAGTGCAGGGCGCTGAGTAAGTCGCAGCCGATGAGAGTCAGTTGTGCGAGGTAGCTCCAGTGGCCTGCCAAGTGCTTCGGGTTGGATCGAGCTTCAAGGGATACATCCGCGGTACTTGTGCTTATCCGAACAGCAGTGAAAATCTGACGAAAAAGTCGGGCGATGTGGGTGGCATCAGACTGCAGTGGTGTTTACTTGTTGCACTCTACTTCGGCTTTGATGCTAGATCCATCCGGTCCAATTGCCTCCTTCGAATTTGAAGGAAAAAAGGTTAAGTCAGGGGATAGTATGGTGCATTTGGGCTTGGAAAGCTTTTGCAGTTTTCATTTCTTTTGAATTATCTCTTCTCTTCAATCAAATTTGACTGGCAAGGAGATCAAAGCGCAGGCGACTATCTCTTATCCCACCCACTTTGGCAGGTCCCGCCTTTGAAAAGAGGAGGCTGCACGATCCTCCCACAAAAGATTATACTCCACAATTACAAAATACCATTGCATCAGTGGGTGGGTGGCATGAGAAATACGCCACTACGATCAGGGCTCTTGTTTATTATTTTCCCGCTAGATGGCCAATGGCAAGCAAATAGCAGAGAATGTTTTCTTTCTTCGTATCTCATTATTGACTCGCTGGTGTGTTGATACTTGTATCTTAGATGCTGGCTACCTAGGGAAGGTGCGATGCAATGCCATGAAGTTAGCCCGACGTGATATCCAAATAGCAAATACTATAGAACTCAAACAATTAATCCCCACGACGAACTTGTCACGGACAACACATTGCCTGACAGTACCATTGTTGAGCTGCCACAGAATCTGCAGAAGCTCATAACGAGTGAAGGTAGTCAATAACCGTCCAGCATAATTCTACCCCCAGTACTCCGTACGGAGTATCCACCTACGCCTTTGACACCAACCCCAAAGCCGCAGCCTCCTCAGACACGGCACCCGCAACCTCATCCCTCAACGCCCGCCCCCTCGGCCGCCAGCCCAGATACCTCCCCGCCCTCTGCGCGACGCTCTTCGAGTTCTGCCCAAACGTCCCCGTCGACGTCCCCTCCAGCTGCTCGACCTCCCTCTGCGTCACGACTTCGGTCCGCACCCCCTCGCCGCGCACGAACCCTTGCCTGCTAGCCTCCTCGGCGATCCACCCCGCCACGTCGGCCCATCGATGCGATCCGGCCTCCGCGAAGAAGTAGCCGTGGAGCCCAAACACCTCCGGGTCGTTTGCCAGCGAGCGGTCCTGCGTCGCGTCCACGAGCCGGACGAACAGGTCGCCCAGGTCGTCGATGTGGATGTGGTCCCATTCCGTCTTGCCCGCGCCGACGACGGGGACGAACCCCTTCTGGAGCGCGATGCGGGCCATGTCGGGGATCTGGACGCTTCGAGTGTTGACGGGACCGGAGCCCCTGCCGTAGATTGTCGGCGGGCACAGGATGGCGACCTTGACGGCGTCGGAGATGGCCGATTGGACGATCTTGTCGACGTCGCGATGGTGTGCCTCGTCGGGTAGGGTGACGATGCGGTCGATGTCATCCACGTCGTGATATTTCTGAGCCGGCACGGGCCCTTCGCCAAACCTCCCTTCCTGTCTGTCAAACCATGTTAGGATGGATGTTCCCGAGACATGAACCCAGTATCCCGGCTTCTCGGCAGAGTGTCCGCGAGCGAGCCCCTTCGCAATCGCCTGGGCTCCGGGCACGTTATCAGACGAATCCGCGGTATCTAGTTTTAGAAGCAGGTGAGTTACGTCAACGAAATGCAAACCTTAGGTGCAGACCAAGACCTACGGACGACAACATCAGCCTCAGCGGCTGCTTGTTCTACCAAGGCGGAGTCGGTAAGGCCACCGTAGACCAGCTTGACGTCGGGGTACTTGGCCTTGATTGGCTTCCCCTTCTCCTCGCTCCGGACGAGCAAGGTAAACTCGTAGTCGGGGTGCGCTCTCGCCAGGTACGCAAGAGCTGTGCCTCCAATGTAGCCTTGTGATGGAGGTCAGCTCGGCGCCAAACAGCTTTGAACATTGCATTAGTCCATACCAGTCGCCCCGGTCCTTGATGCAGAATATTGTTAGCTTTCTGGGAAGGAAGTCCGTGGGAGTTCTCATGTACGCACAGAAAGATCTTGACACCCATGACTATCAGATTGATGGCTGGAAATCTGAGCTTTGTAGTCTAAATAAAGCGCTTCGATAGCGGGAAATTGATCAAATAGTATATATCAATGACCAAATCAGCATCTGAGTAAATACACAAGGTTCCTTATGCATTTATACGTGAAACGTCAGTCGTCGTCCTGGTGGGCTCACCGAATTTGTAAGCTGCCGCTCGATCCATATAACATCATCCATGCATATGACGTTAAGAGGGGTCGGAATGCGATACCGCCTTGCAAAACGAACCTTATATCCGTAGCCTCTCGGAATATCTCTAGAATCGGGCGGTGTCTCAATTTAGAAGAGTGTGGATTCCCTTGACCTAAACGCCACTGGTACTTACAAATTCTACTCAGGCAAGTGGCTGGGATAAACATGGCACTGCAGAGCTCATTTCCGCTCTCTTATGAATAATATTCCAAACAATAACAGTAAAATAATAGGTTACTCTAAAATATTTAGCTTGATATTTTATTAGTAACTGGGTCATTGTTTTTGATACTGCATCGAAATCTGAGGCTATATGGAGGCTTTGGTGTGCCATGTTTTATTTCAGCCACTTGCGTGAGTAGGTGTGGCCTTGAAATTGGAACAATATATTCACATGGTAAAGATGATGATGAAGGCGGGGGTATCATTTGGTTTCCTATTTGCAAACGAACTGACTGGAGAAGTCCAGATCCTAGAGTTACATACAGATAGCTGCATATGAAGAGATCAGCTATCAAGTTTTCCTTGGGTGTCATCGAAAGACACAAGCTCGAGATTGAGATACGGCACATGAATGGCCGCAATGAAACATCACAACAAGATCGATCCAACCCAAAACTTCTTGTCCGCACCTGTTAATCACCCATCCTTCCGAAATTCGAGCAGGCCCTTGCCTGCATGTCAACGCACCCAAGAGATGCCGTTTCAAACGTCAGCCAATTTCCAATTCCCAGGCTTTCAGCTCCAATTTGCCCATCTCACATTTTCTCAGTGTCATATTTGTTAGCCAGGTACTAGAGATCTGATAGCTATCCCAAGACGACAATCGCGAGCCATTTCCAGAGTCAAGATAATCCGCCTAAGGTCAGACATTAGCCAGAGACAGAATACGCCACTGCCAGAGCAATGATGAGCACAGGATAGACGATCGCCTCCACAATGAGTTGCTGCTTTAATGTTCCACGCTGGTCAAGAGTAAAAGCAGATAGTTCGCCATGCGTGCACCACGAGATGGTCGAGTCGAACACGCCCGAGAGAGCAAGTACGCCCACAGGCGGGAAGAGGATGGTCAGGACCATAACGACCAGAAAGAATTTTTTGCCCTTCTCCTCTGATGAGTTATCTGGCAAGTGCGTGCCGGAAGGAACTGTCCCTCGGAAGGAGGATGTCGGCACTCCATCAGACCAATTTAGACTGTGCTCCTTGTAGCAGCCGGAGAGGTCGGTCTGACGGTGATCATTTTCTCCTCTGAATCCTTGGAAATTGGGCGTCCCACCGGCCAGGATTGACCAGCTGTCATATGGACCTCCTCTATACAGAGACCTGCGGGACATCTCGAGTCCGCGTCGGGCCGAGGGAGAGTCGAAACCAGGCAGTCGTGTGCTAGTCTCACTCACTATTATTGTCAGTTATGTTCTTTTGATCCTTAATCACTCCTTACTTACATGTTGTTCGAGTTCTAGATCTTCGCTGAATGAAAGCAGGAGCAGGAGCCTCCAGAGGCTCATGAGCCACAGCTTCTCCATACTCTATAAACGTCGACCCTGGTGTCTGAGGACACCGAGAAGAAATAGTACTGAACGTTCCGGATCTCGGTTTGCTTCTGAATGAGCTTCCATTCTCTGTGTGGTCTTCTTCTCCGCATTCTCTGCGTTGCAATTGTAGCGCAGAAGCCTCCGGCAAGCTAATCAGCGAGAATTTGAATTGGTACTTCTGGCTATCACGGGCTGCATGAGAAGAGTTATGCGGCTGACTAGGACCAGGAACGCCATGATTATAAAGGGGCCGGTCTGAAATTGGACGGGGCCCGTTATGTTCCAGGTCAGTGATCGTTGCATGCTCGTCAGGGCTAGGATCCGATCCAAGGCTACCATAGCGGCGCCCATATGGCTGCATTTCAAAGACTCGCGGGATTGCTGGGACCTCAGGTACTTGGGTCATCCGGAATGTGTTTGAGAGGCGACGGATCGCTGCTGTTGCGATAGATTCCTTACGGGATGTCCTGTGGTTCGGCACGTTTTGCTCACAGTCGGCAAGTCTTGACACTGCTTCGTTTGCAGCCATGTCATGGTCCGAAGCAGGATTGCATTCACACCATCGGTGCCGAATGATATTTTCCGACGAGGGATACTTGCAGTTGCATAGGCCAGCGGAATCAGAAACATCGGCCAAGCTATTGCCTGTTTCTTTGGCATAGAGATAGCTTGCATTTCCAGGACCCTGTGGTGTCCCATTGTACGGATTAGACGTCGTAATTGTTCGCCAATCATCTTCAGCATCTACGTTTGCTCCAACATTGATCTTCACAGCAATGCCGTCGTTCCCGCTGGGTCTCTGTAAGCTGCTTTTGGTTTCATTCGCATCCGCTGCATTCACGGGGATTTTCACATCATCGTCGAATCTCTAGGTCGAACGAATGGCAGTAGAGTTGTAGAACGAAGGATCGGTTCTGCAAATGTCTTCGCAGGGCCCAGCCTGATCTAACTCAAGACTTGAGGCTCGTGTTGCAGTTGGGAAGATTTCGACTTGCTGAAACCCACCACGTTCAATTGGCTTTTTCCCTTTAGCAATTGACGTAGGCGTGTCATCATCGTGCTGGAATGGGTTGCCGATCTTAGAGAGTCGATTCCCTGGAGCCAACTCGAAGCGAAGTGTTTGGTCTGCTACAGGAGTGTTTGCCAAATCAACATCCTCTCGCTTCCAGTTTCCGAGATTATCTCCATCGACGCTTTCGACTCTGTTCGGGTTGCTATAACAGCTGGAAGAGGAGTAAAAGGAGGGGTGACTCGCAAATGCCTGTTGAGCGTGTTCAGGATGGACCTCTGGCGAGGCATTCTGGGTGGCGAAAATGGAGTTTCTCTCTGGCAGGAAAAGAGTACCGCTCTCAGAAGAAATGAGATTCTCAATTTGGCGCTTGGGCTCGACACCATTGCGACGTGAAGTTACTGAATGTTTGCCTTGGTCAACCTCATCTTCGGTTGCGACAGTCTCCCAGTCCGACACCGCTATGCCGATATTCAGCGAAGAATGGCCACGGCGCAGTCCAGTATCATTCGAAATACTAATCTTGGGTATATCTATCTGGTTAGTCGAAAAGTTGTTAAGCCTTTTTCCATGCTTGCGAAACGGGTTGTTTAGTGTCTTCAACGGTGTGTCATTTTCATGACCCCAGTTGGTAAACGAATTCGCCTCAATCGAGGCGATTTCGCTGGTGCTCTTGGAAGCGCCATGCTGCTTGGCCCGGTCCTTGATCAATGTTAGAAGTTGTTTGGTCGAACAAATATCACTTAAAACCATTCATTGCGGCAAACATATTGTGCTGTGATAGGGAAAGACCTACAGGCTCGGGTGCTGATGCCATGGTGCCTCACACGGAGGTAACCTCAGCCCGGCAGTGATGGCTCGAAGCTTATAGCTCGGCAGCGAATGGGGGACAGGGGTAATTCAATGAGAAAAACGGAAAGAAAAACGGAAAGAAAAGTGGAAGAGCGGCAAGTGCAAAATAGGTAGGGAAGCGAAGTAGAAGTAGTGGAAGCAGGTAGCCTGTAGGTCGAGAAGAAACTGCCAATGTAGTTCCTTCTGATGATGACGAGTAGGGTATATCGAGACAGTTACAACCACGGCGCTGAAACGTAGATGTCACGAGAATCCGTGCTGTATGCCATAAAGAGGCGCGTTGAGAAAAGAGAATGCAAGCTTCGAAATCACAAGTTGAACAGAAAGAAACGCAGGTAGTTACAAGTTTACGCCCATCTGGGCCTTGCTAGGTATCAGTCAGTAGTTGAGCAGACTCGAATATTTGTCGGGTCGATAGAGTTTGAGTTGTTTGTTTGATCCAAGGAAAGGGAAGGGCGTGATGTGAGAAGAAGGAGTGAGGTGGTGAGGTAGGAAGAAGAAGGTGTGCGGGAAGAAGGAAGAAGCGTGTTTGCCCAAGGCGGTGGTCGTTGATATACGGGTGGCAGAAAGAGGAATTCCTGGCCAGCCAACGTGAGTTGTAGTAGATACCTGGAAAAGAAGGCACCAACTGGTGCCAAAGTGAGTACTAGATACATGGCCTCGAGTGATGTTTGTTGTTGTCAACCGCGTCTATCGTGTCAAGGCCGCGTTCATCACACGAAGAAGTACCCAGCTGCGGAGGGCGTATTCAAGATGTGCAATAAGCGGTCCTCGTAGGCGTCACAGAATCAGAAAAGACTTAAAAATCTCTCAGTTTATTATTCAGCAAGATCCATTTACTCCCTCTTTTCATAGGATCTCTCAGGGTGTCGTGAGGCTCAGGAGAAGCACCGACTGCATGTCTAGAAGCCCACCTCACGCATCTCGGTACCCGTATGCGTAATGGCAACGGCCTCGCTGCTACACGAGAAGAGCATATGCAAGGTACCCACGCTACACTGCATTGGTACGCCCAAAGCAATGGTTCGTTGGTACCTGTTATTCAAGCAACACCACACCCAGCTGCCTCTACTGCATAAAATAAGTAATCAATATCGCGGGCAATAATCTCCACATATTGGGAGGCCTGCAGCCTCGCAGAAAGTGAAATTCTCAAAGGTACTGCCAAGAGATACATAGGCAGACAAAACGTAGATTCCATCACGTAGGCGTTTCACAAAATAAAAGCAAGGAATGTTTTCAGAGGCATTCACTGTTTGCAAGACTATGTCCACCAATAGGCTCTCATGTCTAATAATGCTCCGTCTTCGGGACTCGAACAACACTAACTTGGGGGATCTTTGGGTCCTGTGGAGGGCATAAAGTGGCGGTAAAGCACCAGATTTCGAGATATATTTGGCACTCCATCCAGTGGTGTGCCCCCAGGACCCGCTACTTGTCGCTCTTTGCTTTGCCCAGCTGCTCTCTTCTGCTTGAGATGTGATGCATTGCTTCGGGAAATGACAGGGGAGCTGCAGCCAGTCCTGAGCGTGTGTTTCGTGCCCTGAGCAAAGGCTGGACCGCTCAAGCCTCCCTTTCTCTACAGCCGATGTTGTCCTCCACAAGCAACAAGGGTAGCGGAGAGACATGCATGGCCAAAGGACTCTGGCCGCAAGGCAGACATGGGCGGGGCTCGACCCCAGCCGCAGGGCTGAGTTGGTTCGCTAATGCCTCTCACATCTCCCGGCCAGGTCCTCACCCTGCCCATATTTAGACGAGATCTACCACACGATCCACAGGCAATAATGTTGGTGGTTGCAAGCCGCCTTCACCCCCTTACCCTGGACTTCATCCGTTTCCCTCCTCGCGAGAGGCCACCAGACCTGCTCTCAGCTCTTCGCAAAGAAGGCTCCTCTGGGGTTTTCGTGCCCAGTGCGTCCATCTCGAGCTGAGTCTCTCCCGAAATTAGATCGGGTGCACGGCTTGTGCCTGCATCGCCCTAAAGAGACTGGATCCCTGCCGCCCAGCTCAGCCGCACGCACCTGGCGCTCTCGAGCCAATCCCAAGACACGACTTACTTTTTTTCACACTACTGCCGGTCGAGGGCACGCTCGTCACCAAGCAATGCAGATCTGACTGGCTTAGCCCAGCGCTTGAACCTCTTAGCTGGGCTCGTTTTTCGTTTAGTAGGTGTCTCTGACGGGTCGGCCCCCCCTGAAATGATACTATCTGTCAGACCTAGTCCTGCAAGTGGTATGAGTTGACGGGAGGAACTCGAAAATAGATATTTGTTTTTGAAATGTATAAGAGAGCTGGCACTCGCCTGGCCCCTCACTCTCCTTCTCGCGCGAGTTGTGTGATCATTCTGTAGCTCTTCGTCTATTCTCTCCTTCATTCGTACTCTCTCCGTGTCTCTCAAGCACATCCAACCGCCACAATGACCGCCCAAACCGTTCGACTGCCAGGCCGGGAGCACATCCCCGACTACCCCAAGGGGTACGTCGCCGTCAATGTCATCCAGCTCATCTTCAGCATCATCCTCATTGGGTGCTCCGGCTTCGCCCTCGCCGTGCTGCCCACCCTCGCCGGCGTCTTCATCATGATCAGCTCCCTCGTCAGCTTCGCCATCTCCATCTGGCTCATCTCCGCCCGCCAGTGCGCGCCCCAGGCCTTCAACTACTGGGCCTCCATCGCCTTCGACGTCTTCCTCTTCATCTTCTACCTGATCGGCTGGGCCCTCAGCGCCATCGCCTCCATCTTCTGGATGGGCTCCATCTACGGCATCGTCAACGCCGTCATGGCTGTCTTTGGCGCCTTCAACTGGTACGTTCCCTAATAAGCTTCCTCTCCTTTGCAGTTCCACTCCCTAACACGCAAATCCAGGATCATGTTCATCGTCGCCCTCATCGTCGACGCCGTAGTTGTCGCTCGACACCGGCGCGCTGGTCTCCGCAACAAGCCCGGCCTGCCTGTGGGCGCCGCCGCCACCACCACTACAGTTCCCCAGACCAAGGAGGAGCAGTACCAGATGACACCTCAGCCTTACCCCGTCCAGGCGGCCCCGGCCTTCCAGCCCGTCGACCCCAATGCTCAATACTATGCTCAGCAGCCTCAGCAGCCTTACCCCGGCCAGCCACCGGTCCAAGGCCAAGTGCCGCAGTACACTGTCCCAGCCCAGCAGCCCCAATACTAAATTCTCACCATTATACGGATCTGAAGCAAGGGTAGACTGAGGTCGTGGTGGTTGTTGGATACACGTTGGGTTGCTGTGACCTGAAAGGCGTTTTGGTGTTTATACCAACGGGAAGAATGACAGAGCGATATAAAGGGATTGCAGAGAAGCGGTTCAATAATGATGATTTTGGAATAATCGATTGCTAAATTTAGTATTTATATACCCACCTATTCATCTTGTCACCATACCATTTTTCGTTCCGTTAGTGTTCCCATGAAACAGGTCAATGATGTCAATCTCAGTGAATATCCAACCTTGCCAAGGGATCGCTCAAAAGGCCATTATTCAAAATTCGATCCGACTCACATTGCGTTCAACAATTTTTCCGCAATACATTCTAGTAAATGCTTCTTGACGTCCTGTCAATCGCATTCTTGATAATTCCCGCCCACTTGAGTCCCGAGATGTAGTCATCAGCGTCGATGCTCTCTGTCAGACCGGGGAAGACAGCTGCTAGAGTTAGCCATGAACAATACGAATATGAGACTTGGAGACCAAGCTTACCTCCAGAGTATCCCGTCCACAGTCCAGGCGCGTAGACTACGTGCTTGAACCAAGGACGACCATCCAAACCACCCTCATACAACAGATTCCGTTCCAAAAGCTTGTACTTCTTGTTGACTGACAGAATGGCCAGAGCAACCTTGGCCTTCTTGATAAAGTTCCACCACGGAATACCCTCCTCCAGCTGCTGATTGATCCAGGCGGACGCCTCATCGAGCCTCGAGGCACTAATGTGCAGGCGCTGGATAGCTTCGCGAATGGCGAAAAGGCTATCCCTGAACGCATCGGAGCTGCCCTGAACGGGACCAGCAGATTCCTTCGCCCGATGAACAAAGATTTCGGCCTCAGTGACGGGCTCGGCGGTAGATCCAAGCTGTGTCTCGATGCCATCTAGGTACTTGTCCAAAGCGTCTGCGTACGCCGTGGCCTGGAGGGGAATGACAATACTGTCGACAAGGTTTGCAACGATCAGACCCAGTAGCTGCGACGCCGCCTTGTGATACTTGAAGCCCGGGTCACCGAGAATGGACATCCAGTGGAAGCTGTCGTAGTTGCTGTGGTAATGGTAAACTGGGCTCTTAGGGTTTGCCTTGAAGCCGATGTCGAGAGCGGGGACACCGGCGTAGTCCTGGAACGCAGTGAAATCGCTGCCACTACCCAGTGGTGGGATAACACCATCCCAAAGATCACCGATCGTCTGGCCTTCGATGGTCTGGTTGGGTGACAGGACCTTGCCAACGCTATCTCGGAGAAGCTTGTGGAGAGTTGGTGTCGCGCCACCATGGAACACGTCTCCAGATACAGCAACATCCAAATTGATGTATGCAACGTTCGCATCCTGGATCCAGGGCAGATACTCCTCCACCCATTCCGTGCTACCAATGAGACCGTACTCTTCACCATCCCAGCTGGCGAAGACGATAGTTCGGAGTGGCTTCCAGCCTGCCTCAAGCGCCTTACCAACACCTCGAATTACTTCATTGATGACGGCGGAGCCGCTGTTGGGGTCGGAAGCCCCGCCAGCGATCCAAGCATCTCGATGGTTTCCAACGATGATGACCTCGTTCGGGATAGTGCCGTTGACAATTCCAATGACGTCCCACTGGGGTGTGGTAACATATTCCTGGTCATTGTAAAGGTTGAGAACAACGTCGTCGGGAGAAGGACCAACGAAATATTCGACTCCTTCGTAGCCCAAACCGTTGTTGATCCCCCAGTACTTGTTCAGATCGGTGCCCTTGGGCCCGTGGCCATTCAGCGCCTTGAGGATGGGCAGGGCATCCGTATAAGAGATAGGAATACTGGGGATGCTTGGGATGGCATTGTGCGGTGGTGCCCGGGGTGCACCAGGCTTCGAAGGCCATCCTGGGGTGGTCCTAATGGTTGTTAGTTTCATCAATGCCTGGCGTTAGCATATGCATGAATGGGCACTTACGGGTCACCCGGAGACACGCTCAAGAACTCGACGCTGCCACGCTGGACACTGTTGGGGTGGCGCGCAGGTCCGTTGGGATAGCTGTCGTAGCCATTGGCGATGGTATACTCGCCATCGTCTCCAGGGTCACTGTAGATCAGAATACCAATTACACCCAGTTCCTGAGCACGTTTGACCTTGAGGCCTCGGAAGATCCCGCCGTACTTGGCAATCGCAATTTTCCCCTCGAGCTGAATCCCGGCATCAACTAGATCCTGGTAGTCCTGGTATGTGCCATAATTGACGTAAACGAAGGGCGCAGTCACATTGCCGCTGGCAGAGTAACCATGGAACGTGGGGATACGGTCCTCAAGAGCTGTTGTCGGGTCATCTTCCAAGACATCCTCCTCCAGAGACGCCTTGAAGGCAACCTCCCAGGTCTTGGTATGTCCATCGCCGCCGACCTCGCGTAGCAGGCTGAGGCTATGGTCGACGGGATAATTGATATAAGTGTCGTAGGAGACAATCTCCGAGCTGACACCCCATTCCTCCCATCTGTCTCTTGTCCATTCGGCCTGGCTCAGGTTCTTCCCGGCCAAGTGAGGCCCCGACGTGTAGTAGTATAGCCACTTTTCGGCAAGCTCGGAGGACGGTGTCTCGAGGAAAATGGTCTCGAGCTCCTGGTAGCTCAGACGCTGCCCGTTCTGGCCGCGCGATTGGGAGAAGCGGCCATTGCGGTTGCAGTGGTGCCCGGTGAGGCCGGAGAAGCTGTGCGACACAAAATTGGCGACTCCGGTGAGAAGCAAACAGGCACCGCCGATGGTGAGGAAGCGTCGGTAAGTGCTGCGGGGAGACCGTTTCCAGCGAGGTCGCAACTGGCTCTCGCGGGCTAATTTGTCGTCGGCCTGAACGGCATACCTAGAGGGGAAGTGTGGTAAGCGCGCGTCCGCAGATATCACGTCCAGGCACACCAATCGCGCATCATCATGTGAGGCACGAGATGCAACCAAGAGTAGCGCTGGATGAGACAGAGATGGGGGGATGGATGGGGAGAGGGGAATGGCGGTAGCCACTTACGGCTGGCCCATGGTGATGTAATTGTGCTGGCTCGAGTAGGAGCACCCAAGAAGCTGACAACTTAGGTTAATCGCAGACGGGGCGACATGCAATGGGAAAGCATGTATTAACACGCAACGGTCGTCAATTGAGAACCAAGACGAGCGACGGTCTTCTTATCTTCTTGGAGAAGCGGAAATGTGGGTAACACGATCGGGATTCTATGGCGAAACAGACCTACAGAGCACACCATCGCCAGGCCCATACAGAGCTCGACATCTTCCCCACGAATGATGATTTTACGATGGACCTTGCATTCCAGATCCAGATCTACAAAACCGACGTAGGGTAGTCAGAATTTGTGTTGGGCATTTCCTCCAGCTAGCCATGTCGTCTCGAGCTAGAATGCAGGTGACGATGATGGGAGAGTTGGAGCTCGGGCCAAGCGCTCTCAAGCAGCTACATAAGTACATATGTATGCATATGCTAGCCATATGTCTTACACACCGAGAAGGCGGTGGGCAGTGGTCACGTTTGCCGCTGCGTTGCATACGAGTGTCTCAAAACCCGGCCCGTAGGCCATCTCCGCTGTCGGAGGCATGGGTTGATCGCGTCATTTGATCGAGAAATCTAAATGCTGACCAATATGACGCTCGCAAAGTTCTTTTCGGGCTCCCCAGCCTTCGCTTCAGCCAGCCTCCAGCAGCCCAATTCTTACCCGCGAGCTGGCGATCAACCGGCACACGGCAAGGGAGCAAGACGGAGTCTAGCGGTACTAGCAAGGTACAGGCAGGTATTTCATTGCCTTCTTGCCCCCCGGCGTCTGCAATGACTCCCACCTGTTGCAGTAGACTCTCACAGGGAGCCATCATGGGTGCCCTCCACGGCCAGGGCAGGCGAGCCGAGCAAGGTGCCTCATAGGCCGCTGCCTGTCGGGTTATACACTGGTTGCACAAACGTCCCTCTCCCCGCTCGAGGGAAGGCAGAAATGAGACATACCGGTGCACACCCAGCCCAGGATTGCCTGCACGTGAGGGTGTATAAGTGGGCCGTGAGAACCTCAAAGCCCCGTCTGCATGCATCCGCATGGGTGGTGGACGCAGTTGATACATGCGGAGTACATCCTAGCGGTTCATCTTGCAAGCAAAATTTCGACTAGGCTTGATTACTCGGCCGCGGAAGCAGGCGACCAGTCACCGGCATGGATCTTCTTTTCTCTGCCCGTGACGTCCTCGAATAGCTGCATATTTGTTTCCTTCCTTTTGTTCTCCCCTACCGCCCAGCCTCGTGTTTCCGTCCCCTTGCTTGTGACCACCTCCGCTTCTGGGAGAGATCAGATCCTTCATACGCCTGCATTGCATTGTCTCTTGACCGCGGGGTAGCAGCCGGAGCATATAAACCGGCCCCACTGCCTCCGTCCTGCGCCAAGTGAATAATTTTTGTTCTCCCATTGATGATCCAAGTTGGCTCGATAGCCTCCTTTTCTCCCTCCACTCGTATCTCTCCATAGCCGGCGCCATGACGGGTTCACGTACCAAGCCGAGGCTGCCTATAGAGCAGCTCTCGATTTTAGGTGAGCTTCTTTCTCGTCTTAATCCGCCTGTCAACACCCATCTACTAGAGCAAAGGAAAAGTTTTCATCCCAGTCACCTTGGTGGTGGCGACACGGTTTTATGAATCACAGCTGCGATGAGGATTCGGATGTATGATTGCGATTCTGCCTTTATGTCCTTTCACCACATCAATCCCTTATGTGGCTAGATTGAATGAAGCCTAGATTTCATTCATAGCAGAACATTCATCAATACAAGATCGTCACCTACCGAGTGATCAACACGCGGCCCACCTCTTAGACTTTCACGACAACTTCAACCAGATGATGACTGACACTTCTACGCAGCTGTGGCACGCTTTGCCGAACCGATTGCCTACACATCGGTCTTCCCGTACCTACCAGCAATGATCCGCGACTTTGGAATTGAACAGAACAAGGTGGCACGGTGGGCTGGCCTCACATCAGCCGTCTTCTCCATTGCCCAGAGTATCACCGCCGTGCCGTGGGGTAAAGCATCCGACCGATTTGGTAGAAAGCCGGTGCTCATCTGCGGGCTCATGAGCACCATGGTGACGTTCCTCATCTGGGGCATGTCAACGTCGTTACCGATGGCGATTACAGTGCGTGCGATACAGGGAGCTGGTAACGGCAATGGTGAGTCTTCATACACCAAGTTATGGAATACCGGCGCTAATATAACATGATCTATAGTTGGCATCATTCGAACCATGGTGGCAGAGATGGTCACGGAGAGGGTACTGCAGCCAAAGGCGTTCTCCATCATGCCACTGGTTTGGTCGATTGGATCTGTTGTAGGACCCAGCTTTGGAGGATTCTTCGCCCAGCCCGCCAAGCAGTATCCCGATATCTTCGGCAACATGGAGCTCTTCAAGAAGTTCCCCTACCTTCTGCCCAACCTGGTGGGCTCAATCTTCTTCCTCGTCTCCATGACTAGTGCGATTTTCTTCCTTAAGGAAACGTTAATATCAAAGAGGGGAGAGAAGGACTGGGGCCTCCAGATGGGCGTCCGGATTCGACGAGCTCTGAGTAGGAACCCCAGTTCCGCACAGCGACGCGCCTCCTTCGTCGACGGCGAGGCTACAGCTCCTCTCGTCCCTGGCAAGGTAAACTGCAAGCATTCCGCAGCCAAGCCGCACTCTGCCGGCCTCAGAGACGTCTTCACGCGCCAGTCCACAATAAACCTCGTCGCCTACACTTTCCTGGCCTTCCACTCAGTTGCATATGACCAGAATATCCCCGTCTACCTGAACCACCCACGACAAAAGCATACTGGCGATAATACCCACATGCCTTTTTACTTCAACGGGGGTTTCGGTCTTGATATCGGCGCTATTGGTACTATTGTATCACTATACGGCGTTGCATGTGGTCTCATCCAGTTCCTCATCTACTCCCCTCTCGTGACTAGATACGGCGTTCTCAACTGTTTCAAAGTCTGCTGTAAGCACCGACCCTCACACGCCGTTTTCCATGACCCCCGACTTCTAACACTCTGTATCTAGCGATCATCCTGCCATTCACCTACTTCTTGACACCCTACTGCGGTCTGATCGAGGGCACAACCGCCCGATACACCGCCCTCGCCATCCTCATGACCATCAAGGCCTTCGGCATCATCATCGCCTTCCCCTCGACCACGATCCTCCTCACCAACTCCGCCACCTCCCTCAGCATCCTCGGCACCCTCAACGGCTTCGCCACCACCTTCAGCGGCCTCGGCCGAGCCTTCGGCCCCGCCCTCACCGGCCTGACCTTCACATGGGGCGCCGAGCACGGCTACATCGTCGCCCCCTTCGCCTTCCTCGCCTTCTTCGCCGCCCTGGGCGCCATCCCCGTCTTCATGATCCAGGAGGGCGACGGTCCCACCGCCACCCCCGAGCTCAGCGAAGCCGAGGACGACTCGGAGGACACCCTCCTCAGCAGCGACTCAGACGACGATGCCAGCTCGCCCTTGCTGGGCAACTCCCGTGACCAGGGGAAGAGCTACGACGCTGTCGAGACCGTCCGCGCTAGGGATTAATTTCAAATGAACGGCATATTGCTCCCCCCCCCTTTTCCAAGTGGAAGGGGGAATAGACGTAGACCAACGATGCAAAGACGTCTAGACGTGACGACATTATGTGCCCCGAGTTAAGACATCATATTTGGCATGTTTTGCATATTTTGCATGTTCCTTTTCTTTTCTGCATACGCATCGGTACGCATTCTCATGGCGTTGTTCGCTTTTCACTATTTTTGGAAACAAGCTCTCTGCCTTATTAGAGGAATAAACGAAGAAATAAAATGGGGTGACGAATCTGTTCTTATTGATATTGAGGAGGATATACACCAAGGTAAAAACATTTTACCTTTCATTCTTATCAGCTGGGTAGGTAGCCATGTGTACCTAATATATTAATTATTTTTCGAAGTTGAATCTATCTAAGTTATGTTTCATGTTTCTCGTCAAGGGCAAATTTCCTGGTATTCGACCGTCCCCAATCAAAAACGAAATAATTTGCTCTAGGTTAAAAACTCCGTTATGCCATGCTGGTTTGATATCATGATAATAGTTGTTCCCGCCAAATTCATATCCCAAAAGTCCCATCCTGAACAAATGAAAATTAAACAAAACAAAAAAACCAAGGGAAAAAAAATATATGCTGCACAATCCATTTCATAAGTTTCTCTTTCCGTCCCTGGTTGTCCGGCTTACCAGAGGATATTGGAAAGAAGTGTACAAAACGTATATATCAACGCGAAGGGCTCGTGGCGGTAGAGCTGGTTCGGAAGCCCTCTTGGTCATGCCACTGCCACTCTTCGTGTCTGACGAACCGGCTCCGCGCGCGGGGCGCAACGTATTCATCATTCGTGCAAGGCCGCTGCCATCGCGTCTGGTGCTCCTGGCAGTGGCCGCGGACGTGGAAGTGCTCCAGGTCCGCCTCCATGTCGCTGAGGCGGAGGTATTCCTTCCCGACCCAGTTGTCGATTATCTGGGCAATCTTGTGGAATCCTGGGGTGTGTCCGCCGTCCTCGCGCGCCTTCAAGCCGCAGGTTATAAACAAGAAGCTGTGGATCATCTCGTGTAGGAAGGTCGAGATGAGAAGGCGGCGATTATATTTTGTGTCTTTGAGTATCGGCGAGCTCAGAACGATGAGGGTCTCGTAGCCCCCCAGTTCCACCGACCTCCTAAGTGCCGTGGTGCCAACGACGTGGTGGGAATATTGGGAGCTGGCCTTGTGGCTCCAGTCCCAAGCTACACGTCGGAACAGGCGGTTGGCAAAGAACAGCTCATTGGCTGCAGAGAAGATGCTTCGGAGAGCATCATTATCCAAGGGGAACTCGTAGCCACGAGCCTTGGGGTTGATAAGAGATTTGAGGATGCGTTCGGATTGAGTGTTGTGGCGATACGAGGCAACATGCGCGCGAACCAGCTCGGCGGCGTCGTGATCGCTGTAACTCGGTTGGCAGTCTTGTAGATCTGATGCGTCGGACGATATGGAAACTCCAGACTGAGTACGCTCCATGGCACAGGCCGATATAGAGCTGGGCGACGGATAGCCCGAACAGGGCTCATGTGTTGGGGTTCCTTCTCGGAGAACAAAGAACGCAAGGTTCTGATCTCGATGGACTGGCGTCGGCGAGGCTGGACGGCCGATGTCCGACTCTAAGCTCGCTCGCCATTGCCGCAAGGAACGATGGTGATATGACTCAACCAGATGTTGATGGTGGGGATGTGACCCATGCGCGTGATGGTGAGGAGGAGGGGATCGCCAACGAATGTGGTTGCGGGGTTGCTCGTAATGGCGGTCGACGATGCATCCCCAATCCTCCTCTACCTTTGCCCTCTTGCCCAGCTCATGGGCACCGTCAAGGTCATAGTCTGTGACTTCGTCATAATAGCTGATCCGACGCTTCAGCTTGGCGCCGGGGATGAAATACCCCTGCTCGGGAGCAATGGGGCGACTCTCACTGCCCATGACCCTCTCGGCCATGGGACATGCTCGATGGGCGTCAACGTGAGCAATATTCCAAGCACTTTCTGAAGAGTCGTCTGGGAGAAATTTGAGGGGAGAACAACTAAGATTGTGATGGAGCTAGGAGGTGGCTGATCTGCTCTGTGGGCGGTGAAGATGTCGGGGAGTGAGCTGGAGCCACCGATGATGCGAGAAAGGAAAAGACCATGAATGCAATGCAATTTCCCCGTGTGCCGATGCGAAGAACGTAAGTATTGCAAAGGAAAAAATGCAAGTAAATGAATAAACCAGAAAGCTCGGGTCTAAACCGAGATGGAGGTAGAAAGAAAACACCAGTGTGCCATCGCCCGGGACACAGATGTCGGGGCCATGGAAAAAAGAGAGGGCAAGGAGGAGTCTGGCCCAGGGCAGAGAGCAGCAAACGGGCAGACAGGCGAAAGAGGTAAGCCGAAAGACCAGAATTGGGGAAAACTAAGATTCCACCTCGGTGGTTGCAACGAAGTTTAATAGATTGCAGACAGTTGGGAGAAGGGAGGCCGGCTTAAGGAAGGGATGGGGGCAGAGGGTGAGCAAGCGAGCGGGAGCCAGAATGAGATGATTGTCGCCCTCGCCAAATCAGTGGTGGCACGCTGGGGAGACCTTGCCATCCACGACGGTACCTCGTTCTTGTACCCGCCGCCGACTAATTGGTAGATAGAATTGGAGCAGGAGGAGACCTGGATGGAGAGTGGGAATATACGGCAGGCCTTCGCCTCACCACCTCCATCATGTTGTAGCGGCCGTATGTGAGGTAGTGGAGCGCCTCGCAGTGCAGAGCGTGCAGCAGCCCCTATTTGATGGACGATATTATCAAATCAAATAACACCGAGCCTAAGCGGCGATCTGGGCAGTGACACAACACGACACACGACCCAGCACAGCAGGCGGGTGCCGTCCGCTCCCAGTTGTACGCTGCGAGTTGATCTGGCATGCGTTAGTCGCGGGCGCCCCCCACCAGCGGTGAAGAACCAGGTGCCAGGGCAGCCCAAGGGAGCCATATCGAGGCTCGCGACGAGCCCGCATGCATCATCAACTCTTGGCGCAGCCCACACCACACACAGATGCCACGGCATGGCTGACTTTAGCTCAGCACTGGCGCGGCCGGGTTTCTGGATCGAGCATGCCCTGGCTCCGCATCCAGCATGGCAATCGCGCTGAGAAGGGATGCCCCGGGCTCGATTTATTCATGCTTGCTTCGGGGTCCCACCACCAAGCGCGAGACAGGGCTGGGGAAGGGACCTAGGAGTGTGTATGTCGTCGTGGTGGCAATCCGACTGAGGTGAGGCGGGACGAGATCTGACCCATTCCGGAGCGCCAATCGAGTTCGTCTCGACCACCGACCAGCGCCGCGTCGTATCATACATGGACAGGCTGCATCAACAGGTGCGGGCCGCGCAGAGCCTGACACTCCAATTGCTCCTGCAGCGTGCGCCCAGTTGGGAAGCGTCTGGAGACAGTCGTGGCCATCCGGAATCCAGTCTGCCCTCGATTGGCCATCAGCGGTGCAGCACGTCCCACCATTGGCCGCCTCACGATGCTGCCCCTCCACTGCATGGCCATCGATCCCCAGCCCATGTTTTGGATTATTTTTTTTATTTTATGGCCATTAGGATCAACGCCAACACACACACACATACACATGCACAGTCCAGTCATACACACACACGCGCACACAGCGCATCCGCTCATCTTATCATCTGCCATGAAGATCAAGTGTAGATACTATTACTAGTCATAGGTAGCTATAATGTAATTCGCTACTCGGGCCAAATCGTACCAAATCAAATTAAACCAAAAAGCGCTGTTACCGCCCTACCCTGCTTGCCCTACCTAGGTGCCAATCCAGCTGATCCCGTCTATCAAACCCTAACATGCCTCTCAGAGTGCCAGCAATCTGTGCCAACACCTCACTCTTCTATACGCGCAAGCCTACCGAAGACCGAGGTTGCCCATGAATCTGACCTCGTCGGCCGAATGCTGTAGCGCCTTTCGCATCTGGCTCGCGTACTCCTGCCTCGCCTCTTCCTCTGCTGACTTCTCCGGGTCGTCCATGTCGAAGTCCTTCTCGAGGAACAGCGGCGACGCCGCGAAGCTCGCCATCCCCAGCCTCTCCCCCGTCCAGAACAGGATGTTGTCGTTGTTCGGCCGGTCTCCCTCGCCCGACCTGGACTGCGTCGACAGGATCTTGCGCGCGACGTCGTCCGTCCCGGGCATCGACTCGAACATGGAGCCCTCGACCCCCGCCTTGCTGTGCCCGATCCTCAGGCGCCGGCACTCCGTCGTGCCGTCCCGCTCGAACCACTTGAGCAGGCCCGAGCCGTCCGAGAATACAATCTTGGTCCCGTGGTTGGCCACTGACAGGATCGTGGACGACGCCGCCGTGTACCGGTTCTTCCACGCGCCCTGCATCGTCATCCTGTCCATCGAGTCTGGGCTCAGCCCGTACAGCTCGAGTGACCCCTTCAGACTGTACGCACCGCCCGCGATGAGTGTCTGCCCACCCCGTGTCTTGCTGTACTCCATCTGCTCCAGGCTGAGCTCGCCCTGCTGCCGTCTCTCGTAGTCCGCCTTGGAAAAAGGGTAAGGCAAGGCGGTTAGACCGTTGATCAATGCCCCGGAATAGATGGTCCCGCAAATGACGGGAAACTTGCGACGATCGTAATGGAGAATGTTTGAGAACCGCCCGGACACGTAGATGTCATCCGAGGCGAGGTCAGGTGCGCCTTGTCGTGGCAAGTGTAGAATGCTGGTAGGCGTAGCCTGGGACAGCGATGCGTAGGGAGGTAGGGGCGTCTGGTCAAAGATGCCTTTGAAAGCATTCGTATCCGCCAGCGGATCCCGGTCTACCCGCTCGACAACATCGTGGTGGGCGCGAGCCCTGGAACGGAAATCATGGAGATGGATGCCAAGCGATGTCCCCACAGTCAATGGCACGCCGGCGTGGACTGCGGAGAGGGTCATGATGCTCCATTCAAAGGACTCCCGGCTCACAACATCTAGTCTGTTGAGATCGATCTCAATAAGC